AAACCTGGATCTGCTGTAGATGGGTATAAAAACCCATGAGAAAGTGTCTTTCATGTTTCCAGCCTTGTGCAGTCTTTTTTTTTTTTTTTTTTTTTATAAACAAGTTAGGGCAAGTGAGACTCATCTCTCATTTTTGTGTGTGCTTTTTAAAAAACAAGAAGAAAATCTAAATAAAAAAGGCAATAAAGAAATACTGAGACCTGGGAGGGAGGGAGGGCCAGCGGGCTTTATTCTACCCCGTGACTAGCCCTCAGCTCCTGCTTTTCTGCAGTTATGGTCACGGCTCTCCTGCACAGCATCACCTCCCTCTCTGATTTTCAGACCTCATGTACTAGCTTAAGTAGCTACGGCCGAGCTTTGGTTGCTGCCCAGAGAGTGTCAAAACGTGAGAGGTGGTAAAGGAGGAGTCCTGCAGGTCCCTCTCCGCCATGTGACTGGAGATGGGCTCTCGCTATGACTCAAGGAAGGTAGGGGGAAGGAAGGCTCATACCCCTTATTCCCATTGATGCCTCCTTGACCCACACGATTGAGGCTCATGGGCTGACTCCCAGCACGTGGTGCTGTGACTGAAGTTTTCGCATTTGGAGCGCTGCAGTATCACCTCTATCCTGTAGACCAAGTGGCCAGTAGCTGGCACGAGCAAGAGTTTACATCACCCACGACCGAACCAGAAATACAAGAAGATTAGCTGCCAGTGTGATTTAAGACTCCCAAAGCAGAACAGAAGCAGATAAGGAAAGCAAAGCAAACTGTCCTTGGAAAGATAAAGAAACTTTGCAGCTGACATAGGAAAAGCAGCTATTAAGGTAAGCAGGGGTGTTACCAGCCTCAGGCTAAAAGCTGGAAATATTTTTGAAAGGTGACAGAAATTAAGAACCCATACAAGCCTGGAGCTTAAAAACACTCTGACCTTGAAGGAACTGAATCTGCCTTTCTGGTTCCCGGGACATATGGCCTCGGTAACAGATGATATATATCACTTCCTAGTTCAGCATAGATACATAGGCATCCCATAAGGCTTGTCTGGTACAGGACAGAGGGTCTTTGCCTCATCTGCTGACTGTTCAGTTGCCTGCTACCGTGATTTATCACTTTGGAAACACTCCTGCCCCAAGCCCCCACGTGCTAGACAGAGCCAGCTGGACTACTCCACAATTGCAGACCAACTTTAGCTGTCACACAGGCCCTGGACCAGGATGGGAGGTTGCACTGAACATTTTGTCTTGGATGAGCATCTCCGTTCTTCCCTGGTTGTCTCAGTCACCTTGTACCATGGGATCTCTCCTGCCACAAGATCCAGCACAGCCATTACACCCCATAAGCACCACCACAGTCATATACCCCAATGCAGCGTCCCAGGTCTCCAGACTCAAAATAACACTCTATCTCTCCAGTACATCAAAACCAAATGAGTCTAGGAGAAATCGTGACATCTTGGACACATCAAATTTTCAGCTGGAGCAGTACTACTCTGGTGACTTCGTTCACTCCAGGCAGCAGTCTGGGGACAAACACAGCAGTTTCTCTGGTATCTTCCAACATAAAGCACTTCCACAAACTTCTAGGTGGTATTTGGAGAACAGCACCCAAACCTGTCTCTTGTTTCCCTGCTCCCCCTGGTGGGTGCCAGCCCGGCATTATCAAAATGCCTGCTTGGGCAGTGCTGCCAGGAAGCAGCATACAGAAGCTAAGCAGGCTGAAAGTTATTACACAGTCTCCTTAAGAGCTCATTAATTACCACTGTTAATACTTACCGATACTGATAGCACCACTGCTCATTACAGGGACCTAGCAGATCAAAAAGCAGATCTAGGAAGAGAGTTTCTGAGTTACAGACTTCGGTGTTGGCAACCATTGACATCTCCAGCCAACATCCAGATCACGCAGCCCTGACAAGGCCATTTGCCCACGACCTGGGCGTCAATCCACAGCCACCGCCAACGATGGTACATACATGGATGCTGATCCATGCACAGCTCTTCAAAAAGAAAGCGATCGCAGCTCCTGTAATTGTGAACTTGCATATTTGTGCAAAGAAAGATAGTGGAGATATCAGATGGGTTGCATAAAGTGTGGGCCAAGAAGCTAATCACTTCTATGTGTCTAATTATACCTTTTTTCCTTGTCAAAAGGGGATAATCTGTCATTCTCCATATTCCACTGTATTTTCAAATGTAATTCAAATTGGGGCCTCCCCTGCCTTTACTAGACAAATAGACTAAATGCCAGTGAGAATGGATTTTAAAATCTATATTTTAAGCACTGCAGTAGTATAACTAGTCAAGACACAAAATTACCTATAACTGCTCACTCAGTTCAATACTGCAAACAAGAAAATACTACAAACTCTTTCAATTCTCTGTTTAGAAAGATATTCAACCTTGTTTAGACCAATCTTGTGCTTGTTCTTGTTATCTTCAGAAAAGAGATAGTAAAATAATTGTATAAGAAAATCAAGACCATCAGAACACTTTTTAATTATGCAGAGATGCATATATCATGCACTATACTTACTTGGAGTATGGAGAGGGGGTTGGTTTCGTCTGGTTTTTGCTTTACATCTTAAGATGGATTATTACTGCAGGAAAAGTATGACTGAAATGACTGAAATAATCACATTCCTCCCTTTATGTTCAAATGCGTTTCAAGCTCATATCGAGACGTTGAACAAAATCAAATATAGATCTTTTCCTAATTTTCCAAGCTACAGAACAATAAGTACTGCACAGTAGAAAACAAGATCTAATACAAGAAGTGGCAACTGGGATTTCGTGCTTGCTTATATGTATTCACATAAAAAGATATGCAATCACAAGGAAGTGTGACTCATTTGACACTGGAGAGACATTTTCTTTTTAACTGTGCATGAAAGGGACAGTATTGCCATACACTGCTCTAACAGTGGTGAATCAGAAGTAGTAAGGGAGTCGCTGCATTTTACAGTTTGTAGCAGTCACGTTTGAAAACAAGGCCTGGATCTTCTCTCTGTAAAATCCATTCATACAAGCCCAACATTGCCCCACACACACACTGAGATTCAGCCACCAGATTCCCAATTAAGACACGCTGAACTGGACAACTTGTAAAGTGCATTTCATTCCCAAAAGGCAAGAGGGTAGCAAGATCTTCCACCAGTGTCTAGTAAACAAGAAACAAGGAAAGCCCATGCTTGGCAGGCACTCAGACACACCAGTCAAACTCTTGTTAAGGAAGCACTTGAAGATCACTACCCACAGAAGACCCTGATGAATCACACATGCAACCCATTGTACAAAAGATGCTACTGCCTCGTAAGCCCCAGTTTGCACCATAAAAATATCAACAAGATCCCAAAAAGAATAAAAACACCGCAGTGGTTTTATTTTCTCAAGTCTTTAGACAGTAATTGCAATGTACTCTCTTACCTTCCACTCCTCTGCATAGCTCTTAAACACACATGGGTCTTCCTTTCTTTATAAAACTAGACAGTTACAATTTATTTTGTAACAACAATTTGTTTGGATTTCCATCTATAAAAGCCCCAAAAAATGCCACATTGTACAGTAATTTCTATACTGATGAAATACAAAGGTTCTGTAATGTTTATAAAGCCTTTTAAGCTGCATTAGCGAGACTATTTTGCTAAATTACATTTTCCAGCTCATCAGTCCTTATTATGCTATATACAAGCTCACTTCTTCCAAGTCACCCCTACTCACATAATCAAATCATGCCATTTGAAACGCTGTGACATTATTTTGTCATATAAAATGGTTGAAATTATCTTGACAATGGCAATGTAAGGATTGCTGCTACCCAGAATTTGTTATGAGAAATGAAAGCTGAAAAAGAGTTTGATCTCTTGAAATTATAGACTTTAAATATCAGAGACACAAAGTGTTTAAAAGCCATTAAATACCATCGGTCATCATAAAAGGAGGATCCAGGTTCTGAAACACTTGTCCTGAATCATTTCAATGGAAATATTAAAGAATGAAAATGTGCTATGGAATTACAGGATTTATTTATATAGACTGACATAAACTCACTTTATGATAATATGTTTTTAAATGTCAAGCAGTATAAACAAGCTATCTGAAATTACTACTAATATAATGACTTAAATAAGTACCTTCAAAATAATGATTATATGAAGACTGAAATAAGTTTGACAGACTGAGGCATAATCAAAATCACTGTAGTCAGAGAAATTTATCCAAAGCAAAAGCCATTTTATGCTTGCACACTTATGCATTTAATATAGAAGAAAAGTAGAGCATAGTTTTTCAACAACAAAAAAAGCTCAAAAAACACTTGGAAAAAATTCTGCCAGTCGCTTCGCTTTTGCTGGGCACACCAGTTTTCACATTTTGGTCAAAGATCCACTGCATGCACACAGCTTCTCTATTTTACCTCATTTTGAGAAAATTATTTTCAGAAAACATGCCTCCAAGAAACATCTGACAACTGTATGTCCACATGATTAAATAAAAGAGAGGAAAACTCAGCAATATATAGATCACACACTTTACAACAGCAGCAATAGCTTGCTTGCAAGCCCCTGGCCAGAATCCTTCGCCTTGACAAAATAAATTAATGCTAGACATTTCTCAAGACATTACATCAACAGAAAAAGGTTTAGCTCTCCCTTGCATCAACAAAGCACATCATCTGACCTAAAGTGCAAGTCTTGATCACTAAACCACTTTCAAATGAAACAATACCAACCTTCAAAGACATCTTCATGTAACGAGCTCTCTTTGCTGACCATTTTGACTAGTTAAAGAATTTATATATATCTGGTCCACAATCATTTAAGAAGGCTAATGAGGTCCGAGAAGTGAAAGATGAGTTCAGTCAGTATTATTTATGGACCTCTTTTTTCACTCTTGTTCAGTACAAAGATACATAGCATTGCTGAATCCTTCAGTATCGATTCTCCCACCAAACCCACACTGCAGACTTAATCTTAAAAAGATATACTTTCAAGGATAAACAAAGTAAACACATATCCGTCAGACCTGAAAGATGTTTTCACCAATGCCTCAGGACTGTCCACTGGTGGTAGTTCATCTGCTAAGATTTCTTCAGGAGGTCTAGGGTCGCTGATGATGGTCGGCTTTGGCCTTTCCTTGAGGTTGCCGGTAAGCCCACCGATAATGGTGTTCCACAAGCAGTTTTGTGATTTAGACCCTGCAAAAATAGAGAGAGAAGGAAAATAAATTCATAGGCCTATCATCCAGTCTCTCAGCAGTCTGGAAAACAAAGATGGTCTTTATCATTTTACCTTTGCATCACCACAATTTGGGATTAAGCCTGAAAACCTGAAATAAAGCTCAAAGTAGAAATAAGCACTAATGTTCAGGTCATTTCAAATCCAAGACTGTAATGCTTCCCATAAAAAGATTTGATTATAGAACATGGAGTTCCCATGTCTCAATAAAAACCATCCTCTCCACATTATACTTAGATTACAGCTTAGCATGTATTGATGTGGCTGTATTTTAAGCCAAAGAACTAACCAAAAAACAAAGTACCAAATCAATACAATATTAATCGCTGACTTTCTTAGACTAAAATTAATAGTGGTTAAATTATAAATTAAAAATATCACTGAAGGAATAGTATCAGAAAACATTTTTTTCTGTTGAAACTTCAGCTTTTCTCAGTAGACATTCAAATGCCAAAATATTTATATGGATGATCTTTTTACATTTATTTAGAAGTGCCACCAGGTGCCTCTTGTTTGTCATTCAGAGAACCCATCCTCATCTGTAAGTCTAGTTCCACTGACAAAGTACAATTAGCATCCTTCAGTCAGATCTCCTCCCCGCCTTTGGAGAAGAGAATACATGACTTACATTTCATAAAGTTTAAGTATTTGTTTCATATTTTCAAAAATTTCTAAATGGCTTCTGAATAAATTAGGCACTTCTGAAAATCCCAGTGATACTCCCATACTGAACACCTGTGTCACATTCTAACTTTCAATTATTATAGAATATACATGAGTGAATTAGCAGATCCCAAGAAGAGCAGTTAACTAGTGAAATACTAATTATTTCAGTTAAGAGACTTCCCACAACAGAGGTGCAGCAAGCATTAATCTTACTGGATTCCAAAGTAATAAGACGTACCAACTCTGCTGGTAGTCATTCTCCATGGGCTTTTCATCAATATGCAAAATTAAAAAAAAAATATTCTGACAAATGGGATAGTTCTAAAGTCACCAACTGATTTTTATAAGAGACTGTACAGGTAAAATTTTCAAGTATTTCCCCAGCATTCAGACTTAATTGTCCAGCAGAGACAATTAAGAAGCAAATAGTGGACCTAACACATACGGATTAAGGTTGACTTTTTGTTGCAGTACACACAAAGTATGTAAGAGGAAACCAAATAGAAGAGCTGTTATCTCATGTCTCCTGGGAATATATCATGAGAAGCTACCCTGTTAGAAGCAGCAATATCTGCTGCTACAGACAGCTGATGGCAGCCTTATTTTGCTCGTTGTCTTCAGTGTCTTGTTTTCACACAGCCTAAATGGTGCAGAGACAGATCAGCAAGAATCCTCGTCTATCTTCCCCATTCCAAAGCAATTTTCAGAGTATTTCCCAGCTAATCAGGAAAGCTCCATACTTGTAGGCTTCTCTGCTCTTAATTGTCAGCAGCTATTTAATGTGCAAGGACCGTATTTACCCAGATTTAGAGGTAGCCTTGTCATCCTGTGCCGAGTTCTGCGCTACAATAGCTAGAAAAATTACTCCTCACACCAGGTAGTCCAAAGCAATGTCTACACAACAGCTGCAGAAATAAATGTAACATCCACACATCTTTATCATTCAAGGACTCGCAATGTTATGGCAATACCACTGTTTCTGTTCTTTAGACCACCATGCAAATTTCCCAAAATTTCTCAATTTTACTTGAATAGGTAAGCATTTGTTTTCCCATTCTGTAAGGGGAAGTATAAAGGATGTAAGAATTTTAAATTATCTGACCATACAGGCCACCTGTGATAGAGCCAAAAATATTGTGAATCCCTATAGTATGTTGAGAGGACCGTTTCTTTTGCAAAAGTATGGCATACTGTTGGAACCAGGAGTTTAAGTCTCTGTTAAGATATGGTCAACAACGAAAAATAAGTTGCCATCCAGCCATACATGCTGCACACTAAGACAGGAGAGCAGGACATCAACACTTGCAGAAAAAGCTGCTGCACACTATTAAAATAATATTTTGTGGAAAAGAGGCTCTCTGAAGCCACTTTTATAATTTTGAGGTTTTCCCCTGCAATTACTCTAAGGAATCTGCTGAGCTTCCCAAACCACCATCTTCTCCCTATTTCCTCAGCTCTACCCTTTCTTTTATTCCACAAGCCCTCCAGCTTGTCAGGCACAGGACAACTCCATGGTCCAGGAAAAAGACATATTAGCCTTTTTTTGCACTTACAAATAGCTTGTTGTTTGCACTACCACTGAAAGCCAACAGTGACAGGTTAACTAATTGTCACTGAAAACCATAGAATCACTCAAATCAAACCTTTTTTTTTCTTTCTTTCTTTTTCCTTAAACAAAAACAGTGCAAAAAAACCCCAAGTACTTGTTTCAGTATATATAGTTTTTTCCCCTGTGTACCAGTGCCCCTGTACTTGGTACTGGTGAGGCCGCACCTCAAATACTGTGTTGAGTTTTGGGCCCCTCACAACAAGAAGGACGTCGAGGTGCTGGAGCGTGTCCAGAGAAGGGCAACGAGGCTGGTGAGGGGTCTGGAGAACAAGTCTTACGAGGAGCGGCTGAGGGAACTGGGGTTGTTTAGCCTGCAGAAAAGGAGGCTCAGGGGAGACCTCATCGCTCTCTACAACTACCTGACAGGAGGTTGTAGCGAGGTGGGTGTCGGTCTCTTCTCCCAAATAACTAGCGATAGGACGAGAGGAAATGGCCTCAAGTTGCACCAGGGGAGGTTTAGATTGGATGTGAGGAAAAATTTCTTTACTGAAAGAGTGGTGAAACATTGGAACAGGCTGCCCAGGGAAGTGGTGGAGTCCCCATCCCTGGAGGTATTTAAAAGACGAGTAGATGAGGCACTTAGGGACATGGTTTAGTGGGCATGGTGGTGTTGGGTTCACGATTGGACTCGATCTTAGAGGTCTTTTCCAACCTTAATGATTCTATGATTCTATGATTCTCTGCAGATACACCTATACCTTTTCCTTTAGCATGGATATCCATTCCATGTAGCTTTCCCCTATGATTAGATCTAGACTGTAGACCCAGATCTACTTGGCTCTTCTGAAGATCAACAGCAGCAAATCAGCCAACTGATGTGAATTAACCAACTTCACTAGAGCAATGAAATGCCCACCTGTCCTAATCAGTGTTCAGCCTGCCCACAGCTATGCTCAAGTGAAGGGCATTTGGCAAATGATTGTTTTATTTAACAGGCCTGCCTGAACAGATACTAACCAGGGGCTTCCAGCTGTCTGAAATGCTGAAAGCCTGATGAACTTAAATTCCCGCAGCCACAGCTGTTCAAAGACTGATGGCACAGGGGTACTTGTAGCAAGATGACACAGTGAGATACCAGGCACGTTAACTGCTGCTAAAGGGAGTAGTAACCTCTTAAATTCAATGTCGCCTAAATGGACTGGAATTTGACATTTAAGAGTACAGGAGATTGGGTAGCCCTAGCATTGGAATGAGTAACACTTAATTTTAATTTCAAATCCTTGTGAATAAGTGTAAACATTTGCAAAAATGCTTCTCCCTCTTTTTATTGTACCTTGTCAAAGATGATTATAGCTGAGCTAGAGGCAAAAGCAAAATAGATTTAGGTGTTATAATTTAAAAAGCAGAACTCTGCTTCAAGAATCTGTGAGTGGGTGTTCAAATACTTTAACATAGCCTAAAAATATTGTTACACTGCAAGTCTAGCTACCTGGATCACTGATAACCACACAACTATCATTCCCATTGCCTCACTTAACAACACCAGCAGCCTTTCCCTCTTTTTTATTCCTGAACTAAAAGGGAAACAGCTACATGGTCCAGAGAGCTGCAGACAACAGTCAGGAAGGACCAAGGCTCATCTGGGTTTCTGTAGGTTATCTTGTGTTTGGTTGCGTGTACAGAAAGTTAGATCAGGTAAATAAGGTCACCCAAAATGGGTACGGTTTGTTAAGTGTTCAATGACAGCCCAACTGTGATCCCACTGAAATCTCTGAAGGTTTTACTGTTGACCTCAAATGGGCAGCTGGTACAGAGCAATGGAAATCCTGTTCTCTGTTGTGAAGTTAATAATTGCCTTTGAATTAATCATTCGAATGAATGTGAAAGGCACGGTCCAGGGAAGATACCCAGTCTCTGGTTTGTGATTCAGACACAAGGATAACGACGATAATCCTCTATGACTTCAGTTATTGCTTGAATCCTTGTCCTCAGATGCTGCAGCTTTTTCTGCCACTCAGTCAGGACGTTTTTGAATGTTTGATCTGCACTCCACTGTTTGTTCAATGAAACATGGTATGGCAGAGTAGGTTATAGTACTCTCAGCATAAATTTGGGCATCAACCACTTAACTCACATTAGCACAGCACACGCCTCAGCCATTTCCCTCCTTTCCATAACAGAGTTCCCATTCTAATCTTCCTTCCCATTTCCACAGAGTTCTCACCTTATACTGCTCATGGCCACACAGTCATCATTAATGATACCCTATGAGAAGCTAGCTGGATCATTAAATCCTCAACCTGACTCCCAGATCACTAAATTTAACTCCTAACAGTGAAGGTCTGGTTTACACTTTGAATTATCTCCCTTTGTCCCTATATTATGACTCTGTGACTATTTCCCAACCAGGCTTATCTAAGTGTTCCTCTCTGCATTGCTTTTCTGTTACTGTCAAATAGCCTGTGGCCTTGATCTCACCTCCACACTTAATCCCATGCAACACTGGGTCAAACGATGAGGCCTTATAAGGGGGTATCCTGTGCTTTCATTCAGCTGATAGCCATCCGCCACCGGTCTGTTCTCTTCCATGTAATGCCAGTCACGCCTACCTCTGCAAATAAGGCTTGGCTGCCTGGCTGAGAGCCAAGATTAAAGCAGGAACAGAAAGTGGTTGTTCCTGGATCTCAGACCTGCACCCTATACACATTCACCAAAAATCAAGTTCTTTTGAATGTCAGAATCAGAACTGAAATGCCAGCTCAGTTCCAAATGTCATGACATTATCCTTGACTACTTGTCAGGCAATATTGCAGCATGAAGTCCTTGTAACCCAAATATCCAGGAATAAACGGTACTTGGGCTGAATCTTCCAACTCTTTACCTAGTATTCAAGAACCATAATGGACAAAAAGCGGAGTGATAAAGAACTTGAAAATATTTGCATTAACATTTCTCTCCTCTGTGATTTCCTTTGCCATATGCATTTTCAGGGTTGAACCAGCCAGGACTGATGAATAGAGCCCCTTTTTAAGCTTTACTGTCTGCAACATGAAGGAAAATAAACCCTAAATCAGGAATAAGGAATGCCAGTACAATTTTCTCTCAGTCCTGTTCAGTCTGCTCCATCACCATGTAAGTCACTACATGCAACAAATTTCATAGCCACAGACGTTCCTTCTACATTATGCACCTTAGCTACCTATGTGAGGTATGGCATGCTCAGAGTGCCATCCTGTGACTGTGTGAAATACTGCACCATAGAAGTAAATTATTTTGATGTTTTGCTCTGCACCACCTACGATGATAGCAAATGCCCCCTTTTAATGATGAGAAGGGGATTTTTCCCTGCTAAGTGATCACAGATCATCATGAAACTGCATGCATTATGAACAGGATTTCCTATCTTCCTCCTCATTCCTACATATTTTGTCACGCATGTTTTTAATAATTCATATGGTCAAAGTCATGGTCAGATGGTGCCACATTACCAGATGTATCCCTTTGTTTTGTTCAAACTTGGGTCACTTACTTCAAATCTCAAGCCATACCTTTAGTTCCTAACCTTGCTGTGTGAAGCAAAAGGTGGAGGAGGAGCTATTAGTAAGGTTTAATTACATTTTTCATATGCTATTTCTAAGGCTTGACCCAAATCTCTTTGTAGCCACTGTAGTCAACTTCAGCTGGCTTTGCGACACTTACATTGTTATAACCTTTTATGCTTGAAACAATAGTAGGGCCACAAAGCCTTCCATTCTTTTAAATTTGCATCAACTCTGTTCAACAAGACTGAATTTCTGTAAGTGACTTTTCCAACTAAGTACTATGGCTCCTCAGTTTAGTACTGTAAATAAACTGTAATAACAGGGCAAAGATAATATGAGATTAAAAGACTTATTAAATGTGTTTATTTCTACAGTAGATATAGAAATCAACCAGTTAAAATAAAAAAGGCTACTACTTACGGGCAAATCGTGAAAGTGGTCGTGCATTTTTGTCACCTGTCTCGTTTGCAACTGAAAGGAGAAAATAGAGAAAAAGCATTCAAAAGTAAATGTTACATTAAGATTAATGATAATAGCAATTCTCATGCATAAAGGGAGAGAAGACTGTTCACAGTAACAGCAGTTGGATATATACACACAGATATATAATACTTTTTTTAATGACACCAAATATATTACTTTGCATGTTTGTCTGTCTGTATGGTTCAGTTTGGCCTTCAGAGTCAGGAGGGCACACCACAGGCACCTGCAAACATTCTCTGGTCCCACATAATAATTGAATCCTATAATTGCCCAACATTCAAGCACTAGCCATTAATAGTACATAGCAATATATGATCGCAGTCATCCTTACAAATTCTATTTTGTATTGGACTTTTTTCCAAGTCCTAAATAAAATGTCATTTTTCCCATTTGCATTAATAAGTATGGTAAGAAAAAAGTAAGATTATTCCACCTATGTAAGGAAATGCACTAGCAATTTTGGAAGCCCAGAGGATCATTTAATAGCAAATTAAATGAAATTTAAGGATCTGTGCAAAGGAATCCTCTGACATTTGGAACTGCATATAGATATCACCTAGGATAAAAACAACCCTGTACAAATCCTGCTTTTTTCTGCCTCAGATTCATACTGGCAATGCTCTCAACATTTCTGTGACCCAGCCGGTATGCAGTTAGTCAAGAGCATAAATGACTCTTTGGGGTTCTCACAATATTAAACTACAGCTGAAAAAAAGAGCAGAGTTATCAAGGAGAGGAATTACCACCCATGACTTTTTATTTTTTGTAGCTAGAATAATCATGAGGAACAGCATTGATGGGCACATAGGGAGGAGAGCATATTATAAGTGCACACAGAAACCTTGCCAATTATTTGCTTTCTTTAAAAATGCTGTTTTCTAGAGACAAGACCAAGCAAGCTAATAAATCCCACAAAAGGATGCAAAATATGACCAGAACTGAGACATACAGGTTCCTAGCAAGATAATGTCAACTAAACTATAACAGCCTTTTTGAAGCCAGAAAAGACTTCTGATGAAATTTAATTCTTCTGACAAGTCTTAAGGTTGTCAGTTTAAGCTTGGCTGTATTTAAGACCCATATCCAGTGTCACTCCAGCTTTCCCTACTCGCTCTCCAATCTTTACCTGTTGATTAAGGTGGCTCCAGCACTCATTGTAGTGAACAGAGGGACTCTAACAAATCACTGCCTCATTTTGCTCCCGTTAGCCAGTAGATGGTGCCCTTAAAACACTGGTGCCTCTCTATCAGCTTGGGGAACTCGCCAGGCTAGCCGGAGCGGGGGCCCTGAGGTCTCCCAGCTCCTACAAGACACCATTCCTTGATGGCTTGAGTCCATCACAGGTACCTGCAGCACAAACCCCAACCAAATTAGCCCTCCCGGGACATTGCATGCAGAGACACCGGAGTGACTGCACAGAGTTAGGCAGGTCCAGAGCAGTTCATAGTTTCAGAGTCAAATCTGGCACTGCTTGAGGTGGTGGCATGGTGAAGGAGAGGCAGCGGCATCCTCCATGGGACAGGGATCAAAAGGGATCAAAAGAGCTGGACCCAGTGAGATCAAAAACCAGAAAACACTGCTATAGCCAATATGTAAAGGTCAAGCAGCCAGGCTTTGTCTCTAACTCAGTGATGATGGCTTGCATGGGGTAGGCTGAGAGATTGCCTACCAGGCTGGTCCCTTCTGGGGTCCTAGGTATCTCTCCGTATTGCAGCAGAGCCCGGGTGAATTCATAACATGGACTGATGTCTAAGTTGGAACATCAAGTGAACTATTAGGTCAATGAGGAAAGAGCCTGCTGATGGCCTTTTAACTGCACTATTATCTGCTTTAGAATATTTCCCCCACTCTGGTGACAGACGGCACTCCCTGGTCACCAGGGGCTTCAGGTGCACACAAGGTCTCACCTTTGTGCCACCCTCCAGCTGGATGTTGCAAGAAGACTTTCGGAGCACTCCACCCACTCTGTGTTTGGGCAGCTCAACTCCCAGACTCACAGCATCCAACACAACAGGTGTCATTAACCCCCTCAAAAATAAACATTTTCCAATTCCAGGCTGCATAGGTTTGTTTTCAGTTGTCAGTGCTTTCCAAACATCAGATGGTGTCATATATAGAGTAATACCCTTCCATCCAAGCAGATATGCTTATTCTCCAGCCACACTCTGCCCTTGTACGCTGAAGTCTAGGCTGATTTTCATCTCCGACTGGATGAGACCACCAGCATGAAAACTGCAGATATTTACTTCATTCTCCCAAGTGGGTGGGACTTCATTCAGTTTCCATCCCACTATTTTTTTTTTTTTTTTTAATACTAAACCATGCACATTTGAAGTTATTTTCCATTCTAACCTGGAAGCAAATAAATCTTGGTGAAGGGTATAGCAACATGCAGGTAGCTTGTAAGTAACTTCTCTATAACAAAACAGCCAAGACAGGCAGGAGACGTCGTCCTGTGATCACCCCATTAGAGCAAAACATTCATGTGCTCTCTGTGCTCTCTTGTCCAAGTAGACAACAAAACACCAGGCCTAGCCAAATTTCTTCCATTTCAAAAGTATTATGTTGTATTGTAACTGCCTGGAAATCTCAAGAGCCTCTCACTGCAATTACAAAAATATCTCTATAGGCATGATCAGTTCTCTGATTAACATGGATCACTTAATATGCGAGTTCACTGCGTGCCCACTTCATGGGCAGGCTTCATTTTTTAATGTCTGCCCCGTTAAACTATTTCCTACAGCTTGCCACCTTTTTCTACAGAAGGTATCAATTTCACCAGTACGCCCCCTCAGCCAATTTAGCTTTCAAAGATCCTTTGTCAAACTTCTAGTACAATGCAAAGAAAAACATACCACTTCATAGTATTGACTCATCAAGACTGACAGACAATAGCACATCATCTATATTTTGCCATTAAGCAGCTGAGAGGCTGAAAAAAGAAAGTCAGGTATTTTTTACCCACCAGTAAACACATTCTTTCAAGGAGACTTCTTTTTTTTTAATCAGCCAAAGGGCAGATGAGTCTAACTATGTATTTCACGCTGCTAGTAAATTTGTCAGTGTTAGGAAGAGGAAAAGTACATTAGATAAGGTGAGAACACAGATATGTAGATAAATTTACATTGAACATACAATCTGAATAAACTCTTCTCTAACATTTTTCTTTTTCTTTTCTTTCTTTTCCCCTTCAATGCCACATATTTTGAACAGCATTCCTGTAAAAAAAATCTTTGGATTGCCCTAACGTATCATCTCCTGGTAATCTTTTCCTTTAAAACTCAGGTAGATAAGGTGAGAACACAGATATGTAGATAAATTTACATTGAACATACAATCTGAATAAACTCTTCTCTAACATTTTTCTTTTTCTTTTCTTTCTTTTCCCCTTCAATGCCACATATTTTGAACAGCATTCCTGTAAAAAAAATCTTTGGATTGCCCTAACGTATCATCTCCTGGTAATCTTTTCCTTTAAAACTCAGGAGAATAAAAGATGGCACTGCGACTGCTGAGACAACTGTGTCTGTCTACTTTTTACAGGCAAATCAAAGTAAGATCATCTCTGGAAACTCCAGCGGTTTTTGCTCTCAAAGACTATAATGCCATTATACGTTTTATAAACTTATCTAGCTCGATCTTAAAAGTAGCTTGGTTTTTATGCTTACCCATCTTATATTATGGACTTTGTCAGAACCTGACTGCAGTGTCAGTTATGACCTATCATTTAATTTGTGTCAGTTTATATCAATTTGTTCTTGCACCAGCAATCTCTTTAAGCTGAAGTATTTCTTTTTTCTGGTGCTTAATCCTCCTCTGACTTCAGCACAGAAAGACTGCATTTCCCCCTTCCATCATCATTTTGTGGACTAAACACACCATGATCATCTAGTTTTGCCTTACAGACTAGGTATCTTCATATCCCCTTCCCGTCTTTATTGAACCTCTTCAGTGTCAATTCATTTTCTCACAGGTACCGTATGCAAACATTGAGAGGCCTTATTCTTGCCTGGTCACACATTAGTTGTGTGCTGTGACACCCCCCTCATACAATTAACAGACTCTCAGATCATAGCAGAAGTTTTTGTTATTAAGTCCTCATCTGCATGATCTTTCACTCCGTACTACTTAATTTCAGCCCTTGTTGTTAGCCCCATCCTCTAGGTCACGTGGGTCTTACTGTGAGATAACTCAGATCCTCCCCTGTACTGGCAACGCTTTGTGTCGTCAGCAGCAATTATCAGCACTTTCCTTTTTTTCTGTGTCACAGTCATTAACAAAAAACCTACACAAGATCAATCCCACACAGGGATCTGAAGCACAACAGTACCAAAAGATGGCTCTCCTGGTGGCTTTCTGACCCATTTAGAAGCTAAGGTTCCTCATAAGAAAACCTATTCTTGGGGGATTTCGAGTCCAATAAGGAGATCAGAAAAGTCTCAGACCATACGAATAATGCTTCATAACGAGGCAAATTCTGCTTCTGAGAGTTTTTTACCAGCACTACATAAATTGCAAGCACAGGAACCGTGCAGCCAGTGCACACGTTACTGAGCCAGAGATTATTCAGGCCCCTCCAGAGTCAGTCACCCAGAGAGTTTTCTAGAGTGTTGAATGCCAGTTCCACACAGGAAACGCCAGCAACTTAATATGATTTGAAATGCTCGTGCTGTAAACATCAACAGTACAGGCGATATAAACACACCCTATGAAACAAATCAGTAGGGTCACAAAGTTACAAGAATATGCAGCAACCTTTTGCTGATAAAAAATATTGGATGACTTGACTGTCTCTTTGGACTTAAGATTCTAGTTAGTTACTACAATTAAGTAATAAATCAATTACACGGATGGAAAAGGCACAATAGGCGTCTCTTGGATATAACCTGAAGATCACAAAACACATTTAAAACAAGACCTATGTTTCAAAATACTTCTGGAAGGCAGGAAACAGCAATCTTCACTTACAGGTAATAACCAAGAGGCAC